GGTTATTTGTTTTTTTTTTTTTTTTTTGCGGGGGTTTTTATGCTAACAGATATTGGGCTAGCTGCATTTGATCTGGGGTTGACCCTCACAGGAAACAGGCCATGCGTGTCAATTGAACCATGTGTTTAGCTGACCCAAGCTCTCTAGAAATTATGCATGTCAATAAATGAACCACGTGTATAGATACCCAAGCTCTCTAATTTCTACATTACTTTGATCCGAGATCCAAGTAAAACATCAGAACAGAGTCTTTTGAATCTTGAACTTCCTTTTCTTTATTTGATAGATTATTCAGGGCCCTATCCTTCATAAATGGTACAAATTTCGAAACCAAACGCCATTTGACGTTTTTAGTTGCAAAAAACAACAACGCCTTTTCACATTTAATTAGAGAAACCGACCTGGTTTCAGCACTGTCGCCTGAAACGCAGGTCGCGTTTCGATAAAAAACTTTAGAAACTTCACGGAGTAGACTTCGTGAACTGTTATGTACGTTATTTTAACTTCACAGGGATTGAAGCTCGCGTGAAGTTTAAGCTCCCCCTCTAAACATCAGCCAGCGAGCATACTCGCCTGGCGAATTACCCTGCAGCTTCACAGGGAAGTTCACTCCACGCTGAAGCTGCAGGCCAGATTTTCCAGCGAGTAGCTCGGCGGCGAATTTAACCCTGCCAGCTTCCGGGAGTTGAAACTGCCCGTGAAGCTGCGGGCCTATATAACCGCAGGCGAGACAGACCTCCCCCTCACCTCGGTTCTCTCATCCCGCCAACCGCCCAAACCCTACCTCTCTCGCGCCGGCCTCCACTACTTCGTTCCACACCCGCCGCAGCCCCCAAATCCGACCGCCGGCGCATTGCTTCCGACCGCTTCCGACCGGCTTCAGCACCGCTTCCGACCGTTTGCGCCTTGATTCCGACCCGGGAACAGTCAAGTTCGCCGGATTTGACAAATTTGAGGGTAAACATTCTCCTCCAAAATGTAGATTTCCATTCTTAATTTATTGTATTTTTCCGTATTTAAATGGTGATTTACATGTTAAAAATTCATATTTTTAGAATTTAATTGCTGAAATTTTTATGATTATGTGTAAGAAAACTTTAAATAATTTTG